ACAGAGGGCAAAAACCAGTCTTCTACAGGCACACAGAGACTTCCAGAAGGTGGGCTGGACTCGAGCAAGCAGCCTATAGGACACTTGCACGCAATCAGCGGGCGTTGGGGTCATAGGTTTCTATTTTTAAGGTACATTCATTACCAGGATGGGACTCTTTGCACGCGTCCACAGCCACAGATGAAAACGCAAGCAACCGAGACATCGTTTTTACTCCAACAACACAACTAAGAAGACGGTGGTCGTCCACCATTGCAGACAGGGATCTCGGGTTTCCTCGTACTAGGGGGGCACCGAGGTGAAGTACCCCTTAAACGAGGCACACTTACCTCGCCCTCGGATCCCCTTCATTTGGAGTCACCCGAACATCGACCGGCACTCACTAGTACCATTTACCTTGGGCGGTTCATGTTTCAGGTCTCTTTCATTCACGCATGTAGTGTAAAACAGCGACACATGGGCAACGTAGCAGGTTGGCAATCGCAAACGACGAGGTTCACCCCCACCCCGCGGGCTGGACGCGGTCGCAACCAGAGGACTTTCGATGCACTTACCTCACTCTATATTTGTGTGTTATGCCACCTTCTCGGGCAAGACACTGTCAAGACGACTGGAGGTGTGCATACTGGCTGACAAATCTGAACAGCCCGTCCACACGTACCAGGCTTCTTTCAGGGGGGGGGGTCTCGGAGCTCGAATAAGAGGGAGCGCCAAACAAGTCATCAGTGACTAATACCCAGTTCTGACCAGTACCGAGATACTCGGTCATTTGGCAACCCTACGAGCCAAGTCTGTTGGTGTTTACGAATTTCAAATCGCCTTTAATTGTTTACGATGAGGAATTTCAGCGCTGGACTTGGGTTGCATCGATAGGATTCTCTCTTCCCTCTTCCATGCGTCACCAGTTGCCCGAGTCAAACCGAGTGCGGGCGAGATTGGGCGCAGTATGGTCTCCGTCCAATGCATGCCTCAGACTGGACGTGGATAATAGGACGTTTAAGAAGACATTTATCGCTCATCGTACAACCTAATCAATAGGGCAGTCACGAAGGTGTTCTAAAACGGCCTGTGGGGCTCGCGTTGGCATGTCCCCTTCTGTCAGCGCACTGTGTTGTATCATAAATATTCCCCGGGTCGGTCTTCGTCACTTTTGATCCATGAAGATCATTGCTGCCTGGGAAAGCACAACTGACTTGCACCTCAGTTGGTTTATGCTGAAACGGGCATTCGATGCCTTAACCTCACTCGCTCCTTTCCCAATCACCATACTTTGAAAAGAACAAAGTTAAGACGATATGGCAAGACTCGCATCTACTCCTGCTGTACATGTGTTACCTACTATTCGCAAAAGAACCAAGCTTCCAAGCAGGCCTAGGATCACAGACTGCTGATGTCTAACATAAATGTCGCATTGGGGCGAATCTGTTCACTCAGTCGGTTGGAAACTTGCCAAATCACAACCCTAGCGTGTCGTGGTAATTTGACGGAGCTCCACTCCCAGCATGATGAGGAAGTAAGCGTGCGAGCTATCCGGCTCTCCTGTCCTGAGCTAGAAAAAGGCCCTAGTCAAACCGACCAGCGACGAGTTCGGGCGTAGTGGCTCACGTCACAAGAAGAGTCGCATCCACGTACGTCACATGTTTGCTGGTTCCTTTACGCCTACTAACTGGGCTTAGACACTTCGAAGTTCACATGGGTGAGAGAGGCCACAGAGGCCGCACCACAAAGGGGTACGACAACATAAACAGATCATGGTAAGAGTCGCTTGTATGGCTAACAACCAGACACGGTGGCGAATTCACCCGAAAAAAATAATGCGTTAAAATGCGTTCAGCAGTCACTTCAGATTGAAATTTTGCAGTTGGATCTTCGTAGTTTCACCGTGCCTTCATATATGACGCATAAGCTCTCCGGCCACAAGACCAGTCGGCGGTCGTGAGCGTCCACTCCAGTACAATGAATCATGCAGCATCCATTTCACTTCATGTCGATGAATAGGGGGGGGGGGGTCTAGTATGGGTTCTAAGTTCTCTCTCTAGCACTTCAGCCTCGAAAGCCAATTGACTGGAGAAGAACAGCGAACGTCAATGGAAACGTGCACACTGCAGAGTAGCCACCATCCGTGAGGCTTACATTTTTTCACATGAATTTCTGAGAAGAGGCAAATCCAAGGAGGCGATTGTTCCACTAACGCCGCCGCCGCCGGTGGGAATGCAGGCAGGATGGATGGGTATGAGAATTTTGTGCGAAGCCGTGTTATTTAGCCAAGACTTTAGTACGTGCGAGTCTGGTCCATGCAACGCTCGTGTGTGCATGTGCATGTGTGTGAGAGAAAGAGAGGGGAGGCGGGGGGGAGAAAGTTCACACACGCACTGACAACGGCACGCTCCGTGGACCACCCCGCACACAAGGCCATGGAAGGCGCCGCGCATGCACACCTGTTGCAACACCCGCGCACGCACGTACGCACGCACGCACGCATGCACGCACGTGCGCACGCCAAACACGCTCCCGCAGGGCGCGATGCGCGATTTGAGAGCCGTCGGCCTGCTTTGATGAAAATATCGGTACTTTTGTTTGTTGCCACTGCGGCTGGGCCACTCTAAGAGGCTGAATCACATGTCTATTAACGGCCACAGCGTGTCTCGAAGGTGAGAACGCAGCTGCGGTTCCCACGGCCGCATATTCACACGCCCGAGGGGGAGCGGGGGTATTAACACTAAGAAGCCAGGAGACTGGAAGTATACGGAACCAGGCTAGAAACAGCCCCGAGTGTTGCGGCAGGGCCTGTCTGTGGAAATCCGTGTCGGGAGTGGTGGCCCAGGCGTGCGCAGGCCAACTTCACTAGTTTCAAAAATGAGCAATCGAAAGAGATTTGCACTTTGAGACTGGAATTTTGATACACTTAATGAGAGTTAAGCTCGCGGGAAACACTGTCAGATTTTTACGCCAGGTTCTAGCCCATGAGCACCAGAAAGCCGGACGGATTTATCTGCTGTGAATGGAATGTTTTATAGGCATGGTGACTACACAATCACAATGATATTCCACAGAGGCTGGTCCTTCATGCTTATGTCAGCCACAGAGTTCTGTCGAGTGGTAGTTGAGGAACGATTAGATATTCATTTTAACACAGAAAACACACGGGAATGCTGGGGGACCCACTGGCAAGCCTAACCCCTCGCAGCTGCGCCCTGCAGCGGCAGAATATCGGCCAAACGCGCGTGTATGGGCTTTTAGCTAGTACCTGTGCTGTCAGTATGGTATCACCTTACCCTAAAATATTCATTTTAAAACGCTAATCCGAACTCATAATAAAGTGCTGAGCTGATCTCGATCGACTAAAAGGATTGTGTCTATTCCCGTGTCCTGACTTAAACCCTAACTCAATACCCATAATCCTAACCCTAGTAACTGCAATCCTAACCCCAGCACCACCTGGAATCTAGTGCAAGGCCACCTGTAGTACGGGGGAGGGGTTCATACTCCCGTATCCGACCGAAAAACTTTCGGGCCACATGGCACCCGGCTTTCGTTGGGTAGGCGTGAAAGTCAGCGCCAAGACTGTTGACAGGCGTATCAAGCTATGTAATTAGCCTATGCAAGCACAAAGACTGGCGTATGTATGCATAGTACGAGGTCGGAATCCTGTTGGTCTTGGGGCGGAGCATGGTTGGCAGATAACGTCAAATAGGGCCTAGATGAATGCTTCATTACCCCTCGTTTTAAACGGTAATGGTGGTTTGTGACTAATAAGCAGCGAAAATCAGCGGTGTCCCGGACTCAATGCAGTGTTAACCTGTCCAACATTCGCCTCACTGTCTTCCAACACCCACTGTGTCCCGCCAGCAAGACAAATTCAAAAGGACTGGAAATAGGCATAATCATGATGACCGAAATGGTTAAACGACTCATCATCGCGGTGCATACTCAAAAGAGACGAAAGGCCTAACCGCACGGACACCAAATGTTTACGAACGCTTCCGTATGATAAGAACGTTTCGGAAGTTGTCGGCCACCTTTTCGCACCACTTGGGGTTGGAGTTGCACACAGGCCGGAGGCAACCATCAGGCGTCTGGTCATGAGACCGAAAGACTCGCTGCCACGGCAAGAAACGTCATAGATATGCGACGCCCGTATCTGCTTTTGTCTCTGATGATGGGTTCGAGCAGGAATCCGAAACGTCAGGCTAATAAAGCTCTTGTCCCAGCGATCGTGGCTACTTCTTCATGGTCCCTAACTCCCAACTACTCCTACATCAAGGAGGAGGGGTCTCGGATCTCACACCACAAAGACGGTTATGGAAGCCACATTAAGAAGGAATCGCGGTAGTCTGGCCCATCAGTTAACAGCTTTCCGCGCCATACCCATTGGCTCGTAGCAGTGATTTCAAACCTCGTCTGTTTGCTTGTTGACGAAAGTAAGCTTTAGGTGCGAAGTGAAACGGCATCACTTTCTTCCCCCTATCCCATGTATGAGAGACAGGTCCTGAAAGTACTGATCGAACGATTCTGTCCCAGTTACTATGATTTACGACAAGTGAGAGGGGTTTTTGTCTAATCAAAGGCTTCGGTCTATTTTTCTCGGTTGGACATGAAAAGATGGATCCTCCTCCCCTCCGCCCCGCAATACAGATGAGCTCGCATCTAATTCCAGGGGGATCCTATGTCCGCTTTCGAACCTTAACATTAACCCTAGAACGTCAGCTAACCATGACTCTAACATTCTGGTCCTAGCACTAACTCTTATAAACGTAAACTTAACCCTTCCAACTCAAATGATACTCCTAACTCCAACTTCCATGGAACTTTGGGCGAGGCCACATGTAATAGGGGCGATCCATATTTCTGTGCGAACCACTTTTCCTTCTTAAAAAATTTCGCATGATAGCTCGACCATCGCATCCGACGATGTCCACCGTGTGCTCCGCAGCAAGGTTCAGCAGGCACGTTGATTTACGCGAAAATTAGTTTATAGTGAGAGTGGACTTTCGCAGCGCCTATGGGACCCTTTCCTCCTCCTCCTCCTCCTCCTCCTCCTCCTCCTCCTTACCTATGTCCGGTGTCAAGACTGAGTCAAGAAGATCGGGGACGGGGAAGGCACAGGTGGATGGCACTGCCGAGTCCGCACCTGGGCGTTCCACTCCACACCCCCTGGTCCACAACAAACAATTGACCTGGATTTTGACCAGCAACGACAACAGCAAAGACGACAACAACAGAAAAGACGCGAGTGACTGAGCAGTCATGCACGCGGTCTGTATATCCAGCGGGAGCGCAATCTCATCTACCAGCAGATAAGTAGGTACCGGAAACCTGCCAGCGCACACCAGGCTGTGAGGGACACGGTTTGCTGATCATGGCATAGCAGATGTTCACAAACCTCGGCAATGCGGGTCAAAAATAACTATCAGATAGCCTTCCAGACAGCTGTCGTTCGAGCTTACGGGGATGCTTGCCCACTGTGGTTTTCAGACAAACTGGCTACCTGCGATATATCTTTCTGAGACTCTTTCTCTGATGGAAATGGAAGAGCATGAGATGACTTCAGAACGCCTGTTCGATACAAGTCCAAATTCCTAATTAGTAAAAATAAACGACTAAGACAAACGAGGCCCCATTATCGTCTACACAGGAGGTCACATGACGACTGCCGATCGGTAATCGGACCCGAGAATGCAGCAAGCGATTTGGTTATCACTGGCTGACGACATTAAGTAAGCTAGACATGGTCTTTGTCGCTAAACCTTCCTCAACTGTTGACTGCTAGTCACCATGCCAGCGTCTGCGATGGCCGTCGTAGACCACCAATTTAAAGGCGCAGCTAAAATATCAATTTCTCTCCTGTAGTTAAGATTGATCGGTTCGCATTAAGACTCGGGTTTACATGTAAACTCAGGGGAGTTTTCGAGCGTAAGGAACACGTGCCCCTTCTCATAGTTCTCTCAACTACCGTCTTAGTCGACTTTACGTAGACAAGATGAATCTGCTCTGGGTCTCCGGTGTAAGATTAGGGAGGGGCTCCAACGACTAACCAGTCTTGGGTCAAGATAAAGCTGACGAAACTGGACCTTACAGCTTACTCAGGTCTAGGACAGGTAGAAATGACTGTTCGCGCAAAGGGGGGGGAGTATCTTTAAAATAATTGGAGCAGGTTTTATTGTTTTTACACGGTCTTTGTGAAAGCGCAGCATTCAAAGGAGCAGGATATCCAGAACAGGCCAATCCGTTTGCAGGCAGAGTTTAGGACTACCAACCTGCTACCACGGTAACAAAATACCAATAATGATCGGTACACTGATAGAAAGTCTATTTGATCTTATTGTGACTGATTTACAGTTTTAGTGTGTTCCATTTGAAGTTGAACGTTTTGGAGGTATGATTGATATTCAAGAGATTGTCGAGTTTTGGAGGTCCTTCTAGTGCCAGAAAGGGCGGACCGTCATAAAATCCTGACCGTAAAGTCCAACTCCAAACCTAATTATAAATTTGAGTGTTAACCCTAACTCAAGTCCTCCTGCACCCTATTTACAATCCATATGCACAATAACGGTAGCGGATGGAGATATACTCAGTGTTTCCTCAAAAAATATTCGAAGTTGGCTCCCTGGTTGGGCGCGGAAGAGCCAGTGACTACTTATCGACTCACAGCTGGGGCCTGAGCGCAGTATCAAAATCGGACATAACAGTAGTAGCGGCGCACGTCACAGGTGGGAAATTTTCTGAATATTTTGCTAAGCAGATCCCGTCTTTGCGAACGATTATAAAACGAACCGATGGCGCATGTTGATCAGGCAAGATTTATAAAAAAATAAATTTATTAAGCACATGTCCAACTCGTGGAGATACGCAATTTTGCTTCGCTCTCGATTATATGCCATAGTGATCCGTGTAAAACCATTTTCGAGCTCAAACTTCGAAGCGAAGCTTCTTCTTGAGAAGTCGTTTTTTGTCATTTTGATAAGAGCGTACTCTGTAAGTGCTGTAAACGGTCCCAGGTTTGTTACAAAGCTTCCTCAGCCGTCCGGAGCTGTTTCGAGGGGTCTAGTCCGGACAGATTCGTAATGCGTCAGGCAGATTGTTGATGAGCGCGGAGTACCTACCCATTTCAAAGCTACTTTACATACACGAACAAAAGTACAATAATAGGAGGCTGTGTACGAGACACCGATTGGTACCGTGAACAGCAGTCTAGCCATCTTATGAGTCAGCGCCCACCAGTCGCAAAACATTAAGTGTGCCGGTCCCGGTGCAGTCGTGTTTGGTCACGGCGACACCGGTGGCAGTGGCTGTGCACAGTCAGGTTTGAGGACCGTGACGGTACACAAAACACACTTCTGCGGGAGGCGATGTTGTCGGTAATGTTATAACTGTCTACCCTTCTCCTCCGCCCCCCCCCCCTGGTCAGGCTCTTTGCAGGAAAGATTGAAATCGACGGGTAGGATGTCTCCCCTCCCTCGGAGCTACTTTATTTGTGCGTGTGGGCGTGAAAGAAGTTACACCACCCGCCCATCCTCCACCCCACAAACCTGTCTCCCTCTTGTTCTCCCCTCCCTCCCTTCCATATGAATCGACAAGAAAATGATAAGCGATCGTCAAAGCGGGGCCATGGACATCGCACACCGAGGCCGGCGCCGCCCAAGAAACGACAATCGGTGGTAGGTATGAGCCTGCCTATCAGAATGACAGAAAGGCACATGTTAGCCGTAGAGGGGCCACTGGGCCGATGGTTGGAGTGGCCTAGCGTCTTATCACAGTTTTTAGACATAGCGTCACATCTTTTCAAGCCAGACTTGTCTGCTTACGTGGTTAACGCTAAGTGTGCCACTTGTTTCTTCACCTGATCTGAGTATTGACCAAGGAGGTTCAGTGTACTTCTTGTGTGTGTGTAATTATGGAGCAGCTCTCCAACAGCTCACTACTTCCATTTTCTTCACATGTAAGTCGAAAACAACAGGTCGGTCCGCTTACCGGACATGCGAGCATAGAAGTGAGAGAGCAGGTCTGAACGGGTGATAGGCAGTATGGAAGGTCCGCCGAAGGATATAACACAAGACACGTTACAACAGAACGCAGTGAAGAGCAAACGGAAACTTCGACAAAGTCACGTGGGGCTGACGCTCACCGAACTGATCGGATTGAAGAACGGAGACGTGATTCGCGCTTCGTCCTTGTGCTCCCATCCAACCAACCAGCGACAAATAAATCGCCAGTCGCAAAGGGTTGACGACAACGACAGGGTGGTTAAAATGACAATTTTCGACGTATTTTTCATTTTCGCTCAGTTACTTCCTAGGCCCAGGGCGAGAAGACCTGAGATTTTAACCTGGGTTCATTTGGGCATTGAGTTTAATGGTCTGCCAGTTGAGACACGGGTTTACCCTCTGCAGGCTATCATGGAAAATATTCCCAGTCACTGAACTTCAATGTAGACCACATGACTTATAAGGCCCACAGCTGGTTCACTCGGGGATGTCAAGGCAGTGAGAAGCGCACAAAATTCTCCGACTTAAACCGATAGGAGGGCACCGGACTTGAGAACGTTCAGTGGACAAAGAATCTGGGTCGGAATCATGGATTACCGAAACCTGTGATTGGGTATGACTGGTTGAATACAACTAATAGGTCGAAGAGGAGGAGGAGGAGAATTCTTGGGCCGAACTGTATTTGCGCTGAAGTTTTTGGAAACTGCCGCGTTCCCATCGTCGGTTCACGAACTGGCCTCCTCCTCTTCTTCTTCGGGGGACCAACGGACCTCGAATATTTGCTTATCTATTCACCCAGTCCCTCTTGTCTTCTGTCGGCACTCCTTCCTGATTAACATTTTAAAATGATCCGTATACTTTTAAGATATTTTTGGTACACAGCAAGCCGTGGCCTAGAGCAGCTGACGTCCTAACGGGGAGAACCAGCTCGGTATTTGAGAAAGCAACGTCATAAACATTCCAGGATCGCAGAGACAGCGTTTTTGCTCCTGTATGCATGTACCTCTTGCTGCCCCTCACGCTGAATGTGAAATCACCGGGAATGGACGACTAATTTGAGTGGATCTTTTAAATGCTGGCCTCTAACGGGTCAACATATAATTAATCGTAGGTACATGGGGAGGGAACTATGTCCTCATGCGTCCTGTTCACTTCGGGGATGCAGGACTTAACTGAGGCAAAGTTTGCCTGTTCACGTGGTTACGCTATATCGACGACAATGACGACGACGACGACGACGACAAGGGGCTGAGGTAGACGATGTACCATCCACATCGCCTGGGCAGAAGACGCCACTGTTAATCCGCGCAGCGAACTGCGACCATAGTCTGACCTCTCCTACAGCTGCATGAAGGCGCCCCAGTGCACTGCAGTTTACAAGAGAGGCGGTTCTCATGAAGGTTAAGTCATGTTCTGTCTAGGTGGTACGGATCCCGTGGTTTCTGACCAACGTGACTACAAGTGGGGTCTGGAGTTGCCGTCGCTTTCGGTCTAGCCAACAGAAAGATTTCTGGCCCAAGACACAGACTTCATCAGACAGCATTGTCTGAAGCCGAGGGTATTGGCGGTGGGGGGGGGGGGAGGCTGTAAAAGTGCATTCTACAATTAGGTCCTCAGCCAGGTCTTTAAGATCTTAAGGCAGACGCGGAGCACAAAACGAGCCATCCTCTCAGTACTAAGACACAATTAAAATTCAACACACGAGAATGCAGCAGAGTTTGTAGGTGGTGGTGGTGGTGGTGGTGGTGGTGGTGGTGGTGGTGGTGGTGGTGGTGGTGGCGGCGGCGGCGGCGGCGGCGGCGGCATGAAAACCCCCACGAACTCCGAAAATGCATTTAATACTTTTTCGATGGTAGCACTCAATATTCTAATATTTTCGGAGCTAATCCATCCTCGTCAGACGTAATCCGAACCAGTCAGGGCAAAACATGATGGGAATGTGCTCTCGAACATTGAAAAAAAGAGTTGCTTTTGTATAACCCTCGACCACTAAGGCTGAAGCAAATGCGCGCTGCGGATGAATCGAACAGGGCATCGAAGAAGATCACCGAATTCTCTATCGAACACTTCGAAGGAGGAGGCCAGCAACAAAATGTGACAGATTGGTGCGACCGTTTAGGGCTTATTTTGACGTCGGCAGCCAGCTAGCCAGCCATGGTTAACACCCAGGCCGCAAGGTCCCTGACTGCTCCAGTAAAATCGGGCCTACCTTTATTCTTGCCCGTAATAAGCGAGATAGATCAGTGAACACCAACTCTATGTGACTCAGCAAAAGCAGTCGCAGCCGACTGAAGGTGAGCTCGTGGCCAAGTGGTAGAACGTTGGACTTAGTGTCCAGTGTCCGTGGATTATGCACTCAAGCACAGAGTACTTCGGTCAGGGTTTGGGTTGGGCTGGCGGTAAAGAAGGCCAGGAAAGTTCCTTTTCAAATGGAATTAACCGCCATCTAGAGTCGGAGGCCTATAAGAGTTTTACTGAAATTTCCACGTCTGGCTGCTCCACCTTATGTCTCCTATCATGCGCAATTCTGGCGAGAAATGTTGGCAGAAGGACACCCTTCATTACTCATTTAAATGTCCAAAAGGTTAGGGGTTCAGTGCTCCGCCACCAGTCGACCAGGCATGTTCCATCTGACGGTTAATCACGTAATCGGTGAAGAGACCAATTTTGGGAGAATGATCCTTCAGAAGATGAAGATGCGATCACTGGGACAAGAAGTTTATTTGCCTGACGTTTCGGATTCTCACTCGAATCCATCATCAGAGATATTCGCAGATAGAGGTCTGCGAATATCTCTGATGATGGATTCGAGTGAAAATCCGAAACGTCAGGCCAATAAACTTCTTGTCCCAGTGATCGCATCTTCATCTTCTGAACTGCTACCTGGGACTCGCCTGTTCGCTTCTATCAGAATGATCCTTGTGGCCGAGGGGGCTAGGGAAAAGTTCCCATGTGTGAATCGTGTCTAGAAAACCCGTAGTGTAACACGATGGTATGCGCCAGCGGCACGTAGTGGGGGAGTCAGGTCGCGTACGTTAAAAAAAGTCGTTTCCCACTTGGGCAGGCGTCCCCGCTTCTGCACTAATCTCCGTTCACTTCCGCAAACTAGGCCCACCACTGAACGATAATCAGGAAACAGTCGGTTGGGGGAAAGGCAGATGCCTAATTGAGTGTCATCT